CAAGAAGATATGGCATCAATATGAGTTTAATGATCAATAAACATACCGCATTAATGCAAGTAATTTAAAACAAACGTGTTTAAGAAAAAAGAAAAAAAAAACAATGAAGTGCATAAGATTTCACAAATATAAACTAGAATATATTTACCTTTTTGCGCTGCTACTAGTTGTATTAGCAGTCTTGACAGCTGAATGCTTACCACTAGAAGAGGATGAGCTGGCAGCGGTAGTAATGGTAGAACGAGAGCTAGAACCGCGTCTGCTAGAAGTGTTCATGTTTTAATAGTATTTTTCACGTAAAGAAGCAAGCAGTAGTTTGTAGATTAAGGTATTTTAAGAAAATCTTGTGATAGATCGATAAATCACTGGAAGTTCACTGTGACTGGAAAATGTCCTTGTTGTAAATGAGGGCAGTTTAAATCTGAACAGTTCTTTACGAGCCAAACAACTGACAACATGCAACATTCCCATTTTATACAATCCCCGCGTAATTACCATACTCTTTGGTACTATATTTGATCAAGTTTGTTAGCATGCTTCCATGAGGTAGGAGTTTGAAAAATTAAAAAGGGTACTAAACTTGTATTCTCACAAGTTTAGTATGAAAACCTGGTATTCAAATACTAATTTCTGGATTAAATAAAATGACAAGACACGCGAGATAGAACCGGTTCTTGGAACATTTCTTCTACCCAATTTCCTGGGATGTGAGAATGGAGTTATCATGTGATACCAATATGGATAATATATTAAACTAATACTGTAATAGTGTGTATTATTCTACATATTAATATTTTGTATAATATATATAGAATTAATGTATTTGTAACAACATGTTATAGTAACAACACTACAATTAGCCAATAATAGTTAAAGTTAAGGTTTGGCTTATATTGGCTATACAAAGTAAATTGTTAAAGTTATTATAATTAAGTATATAACATGTTACAATTAGATACGTCTATATATAGATATAGAATATAGATACTTATAATAAAATTGTATTATAGTATATACAGTATTTAATAATATATATAGTATATACAGTATAATATTATATACAGTATATATAGTATAAATTTTTAATATAAAAAAAAAACTAAAAAAAAACTATTACTATGTTTTTGTTTGTTAAAAATTTGTTATTTTTTTTTATTAATAGTTGTTAACTTTATTTAAAAATTTTTTAACAAGTATATTATTTTATCTAAAACTAATATTGGTAATACTATAGTTACTTTTATTTCTTAAATTTTAGACCAATATAGGCAAATTTGTTTATATTATATATTATTACAAATATACTACTAATCTATTTTTTTAATAATTTAAAATATTTAAATAAAATTTAATATAATATATAATATTTAAAAATAATTATTATTTTTTTATATTATTTATTTTTAAATTATAAAAAAAAATTAAATTATTTAAGGGAGTGGAGAGTATTCTGACGTACCTAAGCTACATTGCTAATTAAAAGTTTATAAATTAATATTTATTTCTAAAATTCATTTAACTATCTAATTTTATACTTGGCTATCTGATAATGAAAAAAAAAGAGGGTATTATTTTTAAAAAAAATTTGTTTATTTCGACTTTTTTGAAAGTGATTTTTTAATCGTTATTTTATTAGATGGGGATATTTCGGCATACTGCAAATATAGTAATATCTATATATTGTATAAACTTTATAATTGGCTGAGTTCGACATTTAATCAATAATACAAATAATAAATTACTAAATGAAGCAGATTTTTAAGGGGTGCTGAGCATGCCAAATATACTTTAGTTAATTCTTAGGATTTTTTTATTAAGTTTTCAAGAGTTCTAATTAAAGTGATTTTTATACTATTCGATTTGTCTCAATAAAACAAATCGAATAGTACTAAAATTATTCTATTCGGATCAGTGAATCGCAAGATATCATTGAAAAATATAAGTGTGTTACAATACCCTCCCGTGCCAAAATACCCATCTTTCTCTTATAAACCAAATAGTGTTTTAATCTAAAATTTAACTATCTAAATTAATCTTTAAATTTAAATAAATTCAAATATTCATATTAAAAATTTTTATTTAAATTGATTAAAAAACTTAAATAATAAATATAAGAATTTACAAAAGTTAGTTTTATATAATTTAATATAGATTTAATCTAGATTTAATAAAAACTGAATAGCTTGTTAAAAATAAAATCAAAATACTAAATTAAAAAATATATAATTTTAAACAAATTTTTTTAAAAAAATTTTAGTTTATTTATAACAAACTTTTTAAATATTAATTTTAGATTTATAGTTTCTAATTAATTTTATAGTTTAGATAAAAAATTATACAATCTATATTTATATAACTCCCCTAACAATCACTTGTACCAACCATTGAAAACAAGTTGAAGACTCAAGACCAGAAGTAAACAAATAACTTGAAGTTTTCTTAATACAAACTGTTGTTAATGAAGTATTAAATGTGATATACTGAGGAGCGGATATTTCAGATAGTTTGCAAAGAGGTCAAGTTTTTTCTTTTTTTCAAGTTGACTCTCTTTTGCTTTCGGTATTCAAATTAGAAAAGTTTCTGAAAACAGTAAGTAGAAAGAAGATTTAAATTATTTTGAAAACAGAAAGCTATAAAAAACTTTTAAAACAATACTCTTTGATTAGAAAACTTACAAAACTACACTATTTCTCTGCTATTTTCTTTTTTCATAATTTTCAACAAAAAGTGGAAGATTTGGCTATCTCCCTTCAAAAGATCAGCAATATTTACTATTTCTATTTTTGAAAAGTCTTAAGTTACAATATAACAAATAAAAAACACAACAATTATATGTAAGGAGAAAGTTCTGTTTAGATTAAATCGAAGTATATAGAAAGTTCTGTGTTTGAATAGTATTAACTATACAAAAATGAATATTTTATATGACAGACTTAAGGAAGTAGCTTTTAATGATACCGGTTGACTATAGGAAAAACCCTTTATTTAATCTCATATAGCAAAAAAGCAAGATTCAAAGTAAAGACTGTAAGAAGATTTTAAAAAAGAGCAGCTTGTTATAAATAGAACCAACGATTACATGTTGAGGCTTTAAAATCAATGTTCTAGAATTTGAGATAGATTTAAATAAGAGTTGCAAGTTAGAGTGATATACTAGAGATATGCAATATTATAAAGTCATATGTATATAATTTTTAGCCTTTAGTACAAGTTAAAGTGTATTTTAGTTTGTAGTTTTTCTTTTTGTCAAATAGTTCTATATATAGATTTCTATGACTATATAGATAGTTTTTTATCTGGTTAGCAGGTTTTTATATTTGCAAACAAGTTCTTTTGAATTTTAGAATAGTTTTTTTAATTCCTTTATATTTTGGTTATTTTTTTATATATTTTTTTTTTACTTTTTCTATTTTTGTTTTACCCTTACCCCTTTTTTTTCTTTTTTACTTCTCTACAAAAAAATGTTATC